TGGGACCAGCCTATGGCAGGTCCCACGACTAACTACACAGTTCGAGTCCCAGAACTTGAAAAAACACTCCAACTGCGTATGTATGCATGCCCAAAATTTCAAAGGAAGGAGACATGGAGGAGAAGGACTGTGGTGTGAAATCACCCCGTGAGTGGTGATTTCTCTCTCCCCCCACTGTGCCTTCCTGGCAAATTTTTAAAAAAAGAGAGAAAGCAACAAAGGAACATTTAAAAAAAAAAAGAGAGAAAGCAACAAAGGAACATTTACAAACAATAATTCAATGAGGGCAACATTTTTTTTAGTTGCCAAAGAGAGACAGAGACAGAGGGAGATAGTCCCCCTGACTGGGCATGGTCACACCACAATCCCTTTCCCATCTCTCCACCCTGACGGTATTTGAGGCATCCACACACATGTGCCAGCATTTTTTCAAGCCACCAGGGCCGGGATTCAAACTGTGCAGTCAGCCATATGGGATCCAGCTCCCTTATCTACTACACTATGGAGCTGGCCCGGGAAACTAACTTAAAAACTTAATTAAGGGGACTAGCAGTTGGTGTAATGGCTATGTCGCTGGACTCCCATGTAGTCGACCATGGTTCGAGTCCCGGACCCGGTGGCTTAAACTCACACTGGGTACTTGTGCGTGCGTGCCCAAGATCCCAAGAGGAAAATGGAGGAAAAGGGACTGTGGCGTGGTCATACCCCTGGGGAGTAATTTCTTGCTTTCTGTCTGTCTCTGTCTTTCTGGCGAGGGAGAGTGCATGCGCTCTATAACAAAAACCTCAAAAAAAAAAAAAAAAAACCTTAATTAAGTAAAATGTTAGCCTCTCCCCCCAAAAAAATCCATTTTCAGTAGCAGAACCATATTACCAAAAAAAAAAATAATAAATAAAGTTCAATTATTATTATACTTCAAATTTTGTCAATAAAAATTGTGTGGAGGGCCAGGAAGTGGTATGGAGGAGGTTAAGGCAGTTGGATTCCACATGGCTGACTGTGCGGTTCAAGACCAGGCCCAGTGGCTTGAAAAACTCACCAGGAGCATGTGCATGTACACCCAAAATTCTGAAAGGAGAATGGATGAGAAGCGATTGTGGCATGGCCACCCCCCTACAAAGTGATTTCTCTCTCTCTCTGTTTCAGTCTCTCTCTGGTGACTACATGGGCTCTATAGCAAAACTAAAAACAAACAAAAAGTGAAAACAAAAAACTGTGGAAATTTGTTTTTTCTATTATTATATAAGTACCTACTTAATAGCCTCAATTTTGCCTCATGGCCCTCAAAGCCTAAACTAATGGATCACTGGAAAAGATATCATACATTTTTGCATAGGAAAAATATGTCATGACTTTTCTGATAACCCAGTATTTACTCTCCGGCCCTTTACATGAATTTTGCCAGCCCTGTCTAAAAACTAAAGCAAAAAAAATTTTTAAGTTAGGAAATAAGAGAAAAACTATAGGCCACCAGAGCCAAGTCCATGAAATTCATAAAGGACCCAACTAAGAGGAGAAGAAGAGCAGGTAGAGTCAAGACAGGGACAAAAAAAGAACAAAAGCCACTGACAAAAGACTCAACTTGATCGGGGCCACGTGTGTTGATTAAGGCACTGTACTGTTACATGGCCAGCTGCAGTTCGAGTACTGGGCCTGGTGACTTGAAACTCACACCAGGTGTGCGTGTGTGCATGTGTGCCTAAAATCCCAGGAAAATTTGATAGAATGGATTGTGGCATGGCCATCCCTCTGGGGGGTGATTTCTCACTTTCCCCTTCACTCTTTCTCTGTCTCTCCGGTAAGTACATGAGTCCTAATGGCAAAAAACTTAAAAAAAAAAAAAAAAAAAGAAAAAAGAAAAAAAGAAAAGAAAAACCTCAACTTTAAGGACAGAAACAGTACAGTTACAAGGCAGCTAAAGGCAGCTGAATGTAAAAGAGACAGACAAACTTCAGGGTCATCCTTGTAAAACTGAAGAATTTAAAGAGCATCTTTTGGGGCCTGCTTGATGGCATAGTGGTAATGCACTGTGCAAAAGCCAGATCCCACATGGAGACCATGGTTCAAATCCCCAGCCTAGTAAGCCTGAAAACACACCAGGCATCTGCACGAATGTGCAAGACCCAATGGGCTGCCCAGAGCATCAAAGGAGGAGGATCACAGTGTGACCAAACCCTATGGGGAGGGGTGCTTATTTCTCTCTCCCTCACACACACATATGCACATACTCTATCATCAACAAAGAAAACAACTTTTAAGAGAATTCTGTTTCCAATAAGAAAGAATGAAAAGATCAGTTATAAAAGCATAAGAATCAAATCAGTAATAAAGGTGTCATACTAGATGGGACTTTTATAATCCCTTTAAAGTCTCTAAGGGCAACAGTCATGAACCACATGATGCTTCTGTGAGGCAGATGCATATACAACAATAGTCACATATACACCCTGTTAGCCTAGAAGTATAGTAGGCTAGACAGTCTAGGTTTGTATTTTTAAAATATGTCATGACTTTCCCAATGACCCAGTTTAAGTACAATCTATGATATTCATGCAATGAAATAATTTATTGACACCTCTCAGTATGTGACACAAGGCTGCATTTAACACATGACCTTCGCTGAAAGGCCAAGAAGCAATGCATAACTGTATTTCTTTTTTGGAGAGAGATTTTTTTCTATAGGGTACATGCGCTCGCCAGAGAGACAGAGACACAAAAAAGCGAGAAATCACTCCTTCCACATGGTAGATGGCCACCCCACAATCCCTTCTTCATTCTTCTCTCAGGATTTCAGGCACACATGCACACGCGTCTGGCGTGAGTTTTAAGCCACCTGGTCCGAGACTCAAACCACGATCAACTAACGTGGGAGTCCAGTGATGTAACCATTACGCCACCTGCTGGGCCCCATGACTGTATTTTAAGCCTAGAAATCAATTTTAAAACTAGGCTGTCAATCAATTATATTTTATTGTATTTTGTTGAAGGCAAAATAGTTATTTTCATACCTCTGGTGCCTTGGAATAGTTACAGCCTAAAAATACTTTCTGAAAAACATACCATAAAAGAAAAAGGACCCAGGAGAGAAAAAAAAAAAAAAGATGTGGATTCCAAGAAACAGCAGAATCAACAGAGAAGCCAGAAAAAATAAATCCCAAGGTGACAATAACAGTTGTGC